TAGCCATTCTAACTGGTGTAAGGTGGCATCTCAATGTGGTTTTGATTTGAATCTCCCTGATTGCTAATGATGATGAACATTTTTTCATGCGCCTGTTAGCCATTTGCATGTCTTCTTTGGAGAAATGTCTGTTCATGTCTTCTGCCCATTTTTTGACATGATTATCTGTTTTGTGTGTGTTGAATTTGAGGAGTTCTTTATAGATCTTGGATATCAGCCCTTTCTTTGTCTGTACTGTCATTTGCAAATATCTTTTCCCATTCTGCGGGTTGTCTCTTTGTTTTGTTGACTGTTTCTTTGCTGTGTAGAAGCTTTTGATCTTGATGAAGGCCCAAAAGTTCATTTTTGCTTTTGTTTCCTTTGCCTTTGGAGACATATTTTGAAAGAAGTTGCTGTGCCTGATGTTACTGCCTATGTTCTCCTCTAGGATTTTGATAGATTCCTGCTTCAGGTTGAGGTCTTTTATCCATCTATACTGCCTAGAGCAATCTATACTTTCAATGCCATCCCTATCAAAATTCCACCAGCATTTTTCAAAGAGCTAGAACAAACAATCCTAAAATTTGTATGGAACCAGAAGAGACACCAAATTGCTAAGGAAATGTTGAAAAAGAAAAACAAAACTGGGGGGGCATCACGTTGCCTGATTTCAAGCTTTACTACAAAGCTGTGATCACCAAGACAGCATGGTACTGGCACAAAAACAGACACGTAGACCAGGGGAACAGAGTAGAGAGCTCAGATATGGACCCTCAACTCTGTGGTCAAATAATCTTCAAAAAAGCAGGAAAAAATATACGTTGGAAAAAAAGACAGTCTTTTCAATAAATGGTGCTGGGAAAATTGGACAGCTGAGTGTAGAAGAATGAAACTCGACCATTCTCTTACACCACACACAAAGATAAACTCGAAATGGATAAAAGTAAATACATTTAAATTACAATTGGGGGTGGAAATCACCTTTAGGGCCACTGATGGGAAGGACCTGGCTGACTGAATGGAGAGATGACATTAAAAAAATCTCCCGGGACAGCAAATAGGTGATCCACAGGCTCAATTAGACCTGCAGATCACATTGCTAAATGCACGAGGACTCTTAGAAATTTGAAGTTTAGGAGCATTTGAACAGCCCAGCACCCTACAGTTTGCCACAGCTCCCACCCCTTCCTGCTGCATCTCACGGCGACTCACATTCCCCTTCCTGGTCCTGCCCACATTCATGTTGGCAGTCTCGGACTTAGTGGTTTCAGTCCATTGCTACCTCAAGAGGAGTGGACTGTTGTTATGGTTCCCTAAATAAGATTATGGAATCTCAGGCATGTTCAATAGAAAGATAATGTTGGGAACAATAAAGACGGGGTGTTTTGACTAGATTTTGCCCTGCTCCATCTTTTCGGCTTTTCAGAGGATCATTTACAAATGTCCAGGGAATGACCATATGGATAAGATTCCAAGCCATACCCCCAGGCAGGACAGTTGAAAAGAAGGTGTATCAGGGACTCTTGCGTTGCTGCCTTTCTCTCTAGCTTCCAGTAACCCCTAAGCCATTAAACCACCGTAGTCTCACACTTGAACCATTGCCACAGCCTGACTGCCCAGGCTCCATGTCCTGCTCTCTCCTCACCCATCCCCAGACTCCGCTCATTTCAGCATTGTATCCCCCAGCTCTTTCCCGAATCTATACCATTCTATCTCAGTTGGCTCCTATGCGCCACCGTCTCCAGCCTGGACCACTTGCCTGCCCAATGGCTTCTTGACAACCATACTTTGTCCTCTCCAGTGCATTTCCCAAGCCAACAGAACACTCTCTTTAAAACACAAGCATAGGGACGCCTGAGTGGCTCAGATGGTTAAGCGTCTTCCTTGGGCTCAGGTCATGATCCCAGGATCCCTGGATCGATCCCAGGTAGTCAGGCTTCCAGCTCAGTGGGGAGCCTGCTTCTCCCTCTCCCTCTGCCACTCCTCCTTCTTATGCTGTCTCTCTCTTTCTCTCAGATGAATAAATAAAATCTTGAAAATAAATAAATAAATAAAACACAAACATAATGTTGCCTTCCCTTGTCACATGTGCTCCCACCACATTGGTCTCCTTTCTGGCCTCAAACATGTCCTGTTTCCCACCCATCTGAGAAAACTGCCTGAGAGTTTTCCACCTTTGGACTACTTTTCCTCCCAGAATTTACCCTAGTTTGCCTCCTTTTCAATGTGAAATGTCTCACCTCAATGTCACCTCTTTGAGACACCTTCTTGATCGCTGTGGCAGAAACTCCCACTTATGCTCTCGCTTTCTGTAGTCTTTTCCTAGATTTTTCACAGCATTCTTTTTCAGTGCTTTATCTGTTTGTTAACAGGTTTGGTGTCTCTCTCCTCTACCAGGATGTCATTCCTGGGCAGAGATCCTAGTTGTTTTGTTCAAGGCCGAATCCCCTTTGCACAGAATACATATTTAATGACTAGGTACTTAAAAGCCCTTATCAAAGTCTTAGAGACAGAAAGGCAGAATGGTGGTTTCCTGAGGCTGGAGGCAGAGGGAGGAAAGGCGGGAAGGCAGGAACAGGGAGTTACTGTTGAATGGATTCAGAGTTTCTGTGTTGCAAGATGAAGAAGTTCGGTGGCAATTTTGCACAGCAATGTGACTATGCATAACACCACCAAGCTGTCCCCCTAAAACCGGTTAAGACAGTGAATTTTATATTATGTATATTTTCCCACGACTCAATTATGTTCAAATGCTTTTTTAAAAACCCTTAACACCTCTCCATTGCTCTACAGATCAAGACCAAAATTTTTACTTTGTTCTGTAGAATCCAGCAGGTTTGGCCCTGCCTAGCTTTGCTGCAACCACTATACCTTAGGTATTTTCAAAGACACCAGACTTCCTCCTCCTCAGGGCTTTGGTGTCTGCTGATTCATCTACCTGGGACAGTCAGATCTTCACACGACTGTTTCCTTGTTCAGTTCTAAGGCTCAGCGACTCGTCAGCAGGCCCGCCTTCCTCGACTCCTCTTCTGATGTGAAAACTCTCACGCCTACATCCTTTTCTGTCGTCCTCATAGCCCTTACCACTAGCTGAAGTTAGTTGATTTGGTTTCTTATCTGTTGCTACCCTCACCCACGGCCTTGTAAATTTTATCAGTTCAGAGACTCTGGGTGTGTTGTTTCCCAGCATCCCAGGCATCTAGAATAACGTTGGCACCCGTAGGCATTCAAGTAATTGTCAGAGAATGAATAAAGTGTTCTTGGGAGGCAGTGGTGACTCTCCCCGTTTTACAGATGAGAAAATGGAGGTCCAGGGAGGTTTTGTCCTCTGCCCAAGGACCCACATCCTATAAGGGGCAGAGCTAGAATTTAAAAACAGATTTGGCTCAAATTGCTTCTCTGTCTGTGTCCTAGCTTTTCTTCTCTATTCTACTCATTAGCTCTTTCAGCTGCTCCAGGATGCCTTGGAGAAACTGTGCCATTTGTGACAGAAGCCAAACCAGCAAATGATTCTGCCTGTTACACACACACACACACCTGCACCCTCATGGACATGTACACACACCAGACCTACGGACACAAATAAAAATCCACTCTCTTTTCCTAATATGGAATTAATTGCATTCATCCAGATATTTGACAAAATACAACAGAATTAAGACAACTATTCCAGTGAAAATAAGTGGCTCATGGTTAAAGAAAATGCTCATTCATTTGTTCTTTCAAGGACCTGTTATTTATTGCCCTCTGGGAATGCCAACAGCTGAGAAAAACAGACCAGGTAGAACCGCAAGCCCTTTTGGCTAACACACATCAGGTATGTTGCATTTTATTGCTTCTCGAAAGACCACCTGCACCCACTCTCCAATTATTAGTAACCCGAGTTCACAGACGGGAAAACAAGCACAGATAGGGTAAGCGAATTGACAGTGGGGCTAGAACAAGAACTGTCTTAATCCCTCCAAGTAACACACTTCATTCTTGACTATTTTAAGCTCTTTCTTACACTATTCCAGGTGTGGTCTGTGGACCAGCTTCATCAGCATCACCTGGGAATTTATTAGAAATGCAAATTCTTGGATCCCATGCCAGACTTCCTATATTAAAATCAGCATCTTAATAAAACCCTCAGGTACTTCGTGTGCACATGAAAGTTTGAGAAGTATGCTTCAGATTACTGATGAGGACAAACCCAAAAAGCGGGGTAATCCTTGCATCTCTCTCCCACACTTTTCTAGAATTTTCTTTTCTCAGTATCCAGTTCCTTCCGGCTAAAAAACTCAAAAACGCCTTTGAGCATGATGGGACTAAATCCTAGTGTCTGCTGCCACCTTGCGGTGAGAAGAATTTGCAGGCAGAATTTCCTCTTCGGGGAAATGGGGTAAGTTAGAAGGATGGACCAGGCACTCAACTTTTTCGGCCTTGAGAGGCCAGTACAAAATTTTGTGATATAATAAAATAGCCTTGGGGTGTACTATGAGATACCCAAATAACAACTGGCTTTTTTAATGTGTGTCCCCTCCCCAGGCGGAGAGAATATTCATAGTTCTAGCTGAGATACCTAATAGAAGCTGGGATCACTGGGATTCCTACCAAGCCTTTCCTCTTTAGGATTCAAACAGGCACATCCAAATGTCATAATCAGTTGGTGTGTGATTATTGTATTACCAACCCAAGTGATAGTGGTTAGAAAATCAGGTCACCTTTTCTGCATTTGCCTTGCCCAGGAATCTAGAGCACGTGCTCCACAAAGCGAACTGGAATTTCCCACCACTCTGTCAAATGCATCATTCCCAACCTCTCTGAGGTTGGTAAACAGGGCCAGTCCCACAAATGATGTCTCTCACACCTAGAAAGGAATAAGAAAGCGATTCCAAAAATGTCCTACATACTTTTCCCAAAACAGCCCAGAGGTTAAAAGGGCCTCTGGTACCTGATGATTTTGTTCTGTCATTTGGGAGCTCAAGAGCTGGAGAAATCCCAAACAGCTGCTACAGGTGTAGCTACAGGACTTCACGGCAATGGACCACCCTCAACAGTATCTTCCTGAGTCTTTTAAGGGTGCCTGTGGAAGAGTCGTCCAGCACCGAAGACTCCAGCAACCCAGGAAGAAAAACGGCCCGTTCAAAAGGAGGGGAATTGAAAGGTAGGACAATGGGATTCATTTTCTTTTCTGTTGAGCAAGATTCTTGGGATTTTGCATTAAGCGATAGTCACTGTGATGATTAGAAAAGTTAGCATCTGTTTTTCAGCATTGCCTTTAGAAATGAATGCTCTGAACGGATTGGCGGTGGGGGAGGCACCGAATCGCTACTTTGGTCAGGAAACCTAGTGACACAATGGAAGCCTCATTTTATGAGTGTAATCGTAATGGGGAAAAAGCTTTCCTTTCCACCTGAGTTTGCGTTTTAATGTGGCATATGATGCGAAAATAAGCGCAGTCTCAGAATTTTAGACATCACGTGTCCGGTGCAAGTGCTATGATTGTGAAAATTCCGTAGTGTATCCGTTGAGATGAGTCCATGATCAATGCTTTCTGTTCTCTTGCCCAGCAATATGCACTGAGATATCTACTAACTGTAGGTCACGCTGTGTGTGCTCTTTAATGTAATGTTAAAACTGTCTTAAACTTGGTATTTCCTGTCAATGGAAAAGCTGTAAAGACAGGCAATGAAATACTCCAAACATTATCTATTTTATTTTATTTTTTTAAGATTTTATTTATTTATTTGACAGACAGAGATCACAAGTAGGCAGAGAGGCAGGCAGGGAGAGAGGAAGCAGGTCCCCCACCAGGCAGAGAGCCGGATGTGGGGCTCCATCCCAGGATCCTGGGATCATGACCTGAGCCAAAGGCAGAGGCTTTAACCCACTGAGCCACCCAGGCACCCTGACATTATATATTTTAATTTGGAAAATCAATGAGATGACTTATTTTCCAATTTCTTTTGGTTTCTTTCTTACCAGACATGTAGAAATGAGGTGTTTTGATGAGGCCTGAATCCTCCAACACCAAACTTCTGAACTTCCACGGACAAAATGAAATATTGCTGAGAGTTCCACTTTCAATAAGAAAAAGAGTTCAAAGGGGGAAGCAATACTACAAATTACATTCATTACCAATGGAGATACTTAAAAACTTAAGAAGGGAAGGGTTCTTTTCAAAACAGAAATTGTTACAGTTCTATTCCAACACCCCCCGCCCCAGCAAAATCACCTTCGTTTGTTATGTTATAAATAGATCGGGAATGAGGGTGGAGGGGATGCCCTAAGGAGATACATTCTAAAGATTCAGACTACTTAATAGAGTTGAACTTTTAACCTGGGGGAATAAGTGGATGGCCTTTGGGGTTCTTGAGCCTCCTGGAGTTGTATTTTCATTGTTTTGGGGATGTGTGTGTGTGTATTTATGGTAGTAGAAATGGATGGCTTTATTAAATGATTCTCGCAGGGCTCTAGGGAAGATTAATCCTAGACTATAAGTGGTCTTTGGGCAAATTAGAAAATGGCACTCCATCCTCAAAACTCTTTACTGCCATCATCTAGAAATTTGTAGTTAACTTAGACACTATGATGACTAAATGAATAGCACCCCTGGTGTGTGTGTGTGTGTGTGTGTGTGTGTGTGTGTGTGTGTGTGTGTGTTTAACTGGCAGATGGTCTATGTTCAGTCCCAAAAGGGAGGGCTGGCTAGCTAACCGGCTCTCCCCTTTCTTTCGACCTCCTGTTTGAACTCCCTTCTTGCCTTTTACTTTTTTCCTTCACTCCTCTGATCCACATATTAATAAAAGCTATTATTTTTTAGGTTCTAAGCCCATGAATTATTTCTTTTTATGCTCACATTTCTAAAAACAGTATACCCATTTTCAAATGAGAAAACCTAAGCTTATGAGAGATTGAATAACATGCCCAGGATGACACAGCTAGGAAGTCTGGTACTGGTTTGAATAAGATCATTTAACTCCAGTGACTGAGGTCTTCTGAATTAGCTCCCATGTGTAATTACAGAGAAGTTGAAGGATTTAGCTTTAGTTTAGAACAGTATTTTCTTGGAGAATGGTCTATGTGCTACTGGTAGTACTTGAGATATTTTAGGTAGCATATGAAGAACATTTTTTAATAGTTATGAATTTATTTTAATCCATATTACAAATCTGTTACATTTACTGCAAACATAATATAACATAACATAATATAAAACCTGGGATTTCATCCAGAGAAGTGAAGATGCATCTTCCTACAAAAACCTGTACACAAATGTTTATGGATGTGTTCCTATTAGGTCCAAACTAGAAACAATCTAAATGTCTTTCAATGAGTGAATGATTAGACAATGTGGTAATCCATATCATGGAATATTACTCAACAACAAAAAGGAAAAATTGATACATACAACAATCTGGATTAATTTCCAGAGATTCACGCTGCATGAAAAAAAAGTAAATCCCAAAAAGTTATATACCGTATGATTCCATTTAGATAAAATTTTGAAAGGACAAAATTATACAAATGGAGGCCAGCTTAAGGAGGTATTGGGGGTGTAGGTGCAGCCATAACACATGAAGAGCCTGGAGGTGATGGAAATGTTCTGTATCTTAAAAGTATCAATACTGGGGCACCTGGGTGGCTCAGTGGGTTAAAGCCGCTGCCTTTGGCTCAGGTCATGATCCCAGGGTCCTGGGATCAAGCCCCATATCGGGCTCTCCGCTCAGCAGCGAGTCTGCTTCCCTTCCTCTCTCTCTGCCTGCCTCTCTCTGCCTACTTGTGATCTCTGTCTGTCAAATAAATAAATAAAATTGTTTAAAAAAAAAGTATCAATACTGTGATAATTACACTTTTGCAAGAGTTTACCATTGGAGGAAACTGGGCAAATCTCCCTGTATTATTTCTTACAACTGTCTGTGAAACTACAATTACCTCAAAATAAGAGGTTTAATTTTTTTAAATCCCCTGGATTTTTTTTTTTATATATTATTGCTTTGGATGACATTAAAAATAAAAGCTCACTGAGGAAGAATATTAGCTAAATAATGGTGTGAGGCTGTATGTTTATTTTAGAATAGTGAGTAACACAGACATTGGGATCAGATCACCTGCACTAAGTTATTTAATCTTTCAAAGCTTTAATTTTTTTAAGATTTTATTTATTTATTTGACAGAGAGAGACACAGTGAGAGAGGGAACACAAGCCGGGGGAGTGGGTGAGGGAGAAGCAGGTTTCCTGCTGAGCCGGGAGCCTGATGCTGGCTCCACCTCAGGACCCTTGGCATCATGACCTGAGCTGAAGACAGATGCTTAAGGAATGACTAAGCCACCCAGGCACTTCTCTTTCAAAAGCTTTAATCTCTTCATTGTAAAACAGAGATGACAGGATGCGGTATAAACTACATAAAACACATAAAAAACTTAGAACAGCGTTTAGTGCATAGAACATTATTAAGAAACATGTTTGTATTTTATTTTAGATTGTTTATTTGTTTGTTTAGAGAGTGTGAATGGGGGGAAGGGCCAAAGGAGGGGGAGAGAGAGAATCTCAAGCAAATTGTCAGAGTGCAGAGCCTGTCACCGGGCTTGATCCCAAAACCCTGAGATCATGACCTGAGATAAAATCAAGAGTGGGACGCTCAACCAACTGAGCTACCCAGATGCCCCCATTACCTGTTTATATTACTAAAATAGGCCACCATGATGAAGATGGTGTATGACTCTTTGGAATCTTAGAAACAAGAGTTTAGAGTTATTCTACCTAAATGAGTGTTTCATATACATGCATCATTTACAGGGCCTTGGAGATTACAGACTTTATTCACTACCCTAGCCATTGCTCATCTTTCATCACTGTAGACTGAAAGCCACCAAATCCAGCAAAAACGACATCTAGCCATCATTGAAAGGAGGTTACCAATTTGCCAATATGTGTTCTAACAGTCAGGGACCTGGATTAAGATCTGCCTTCTATGCTTGGTCAGTTAACCTCTCTATGTTTCAGTTAACTCATTAATGCCATGAAGATGAGAGTATAACCTACCTCTTACGGAGCTATGAGGATAGAATGAGGTAGTGGTCAGAGTGCACGTAACCACAGTTGGATTACAAAACACAGAGGGGTTGCTTTAGCTTTGTTTGTCTATGATTTGGTTCTTGGTGTTCAGTTTTATTGGATCATTTGTTCGCAATTTAAGTTTGGGTTTTGATGATTTAAATTGTTTGTTTTTGACTTTTCAATTTCCTTAACACGAATTCTTTTTTATTTTGTTCAGGTGGCATAGAGCCGTGTCCACTAACTTAGTAAAACAAAATGTATTGGTCCCCAAAGAGGAATCATCTGCTGATAGTGACACGGAATTTCATGAAAGCCAGCAAAACCAAAGAAAAAATGTGATGAGAAAAGTGAAGACGGTTTTGGGAAGGGTGCTGTCCTACAAATGGAGAAGCAAATGGGCAAGTGTTGGTAGAGGGGTCTCCACTAACCAAAAGGAATCCTTTCTTTCCAACACACAGAGCCTTCTTCCCAGAATTGTCAAGGAGCTTCCAGCCCCCAGGTTATTTGCAAAACAAAGAACAAGAAAGCTGTCGCAGAATGGTAATCAAAGGCAACTTATCCTTAAGTGTCAAGGCCAAGAGGAATAGTGAAGTTAGGACGACTTTCTTTGCTACCCCAAAGTATGGCTTCTCCTGGGAGCTTGTCTGAAATTCAGAATCTCAGGCCCTGCCTGGGTCTACTGAGTCAGAATCTGCATTGTAGAAAGAGCCCCAGGTGACTTGCCTGTACAGACATTTTTAATTTCTGAATTACATTGTCTTCAAGGTCCCTCCCAGTCCAATTCATGGTCTAACTGTTCTAAAGCCACTTTTTATTTAAACATGCATATATACAGGCATATATACTCATATACGGCTATATGCATATACATTAAAAAATTAAACTAAAGTGGGATTTTTCTTTTATTTTATTTCTGGGAAAAGTCGTAATACAGCCTTTCAAATAGCTACTTTCCAACAGTGGAGGGTGTGGGAAGAATTCTATGAATAAAATTTATGATTGGTAAGTCATAACAGACATTTGCTTTTATTTTTTTATTTTTTTTAAAGATTTTATTTATTTATTTGGCAGAGATCTCAAGTAGGCAGAGAGGCAGGCAGAGACAGAGAGGGAAGCACACTCCCTGCTGAGCAGAGAGCCCTATGCAGGGCTTGATCCCAGGACCCTGGGATCATGACCTGAGCCGAAGGCAGAGGCTTAACCCACTGAGACAAGCAGGCACCCCAGACATTTGCTTTTATTGTATCTACTTTCTGTGTACCTTGTGGAAGAATCAGCATTTGAACTGTTAACTTGAAGTCTTTTTTGCAAGGTAGTAATGCTGTTGGGCGGGGTGGGGGGGGTGGGGGGTGTCCTCTGAGTTATGACTAACAATACCACTAAAACTCACATTCTTCCCTGTAGCTTTTCTAAGTTAATAGACTTGATTTTTTTTTTTTTTTAGATCAGTTTCAGGTTTCCTAGAAAAATTGAACACAAGATACAGAGATTAACTTCCCAGATACCCTCTCTCTTTACCCCACCCACATCCATTATTAACATCTTGCCCTAATATGGCAAACCCATCATGTTATGTCCTGTATCTACCATTACAGTGTCATACAGGACAAATTCACTGCCCTAAATATCCTATGTAGCTTCTTAATTTCCTTTATAGGACAGCATCAGGAAACCAATATGGCCCTTCTAGTACCTGTAGGGAATCCGCATGTGATCCCACATTTCACACAATGATGAGGCTGCATACCTAGTGAGTATTTTTTCCAGAAAACAAGCCCCCCCAAAACTGACAACTCCCAGGGGGCTGATGACCCTTTCAACTGCCCCCCCACCCCGCTTTTTGGAAAAAGTAGTCACTAATGCTAGCATCCAAGCATCTAGCAATTAGCTGGTATAGATTCACCTGCCTATTTTCATTGACAATAACAAAAATGGCGTGTTTCTATACTGATGGCTGTAGAGTTGAAGAGCCTAGCAGGAGATCAGTTCCTCCTCCTCCTCTGTGTGCATTGGCTTATTTTCTCCTCTTAGTTGGACTAACCAATCTCTACAACCAAGATTTCTTCAGGAAACCTGTCTTTCAGGACACAGATCTAACATTACGACACTCTCACCTATAGCCCGAAGATAGTGGCTCTTCCCCATAGACCCTTGCAACATTTTTAACAAATATTTGCTGAATACTTATTATGTGTTTGCCACACAATTAGGCATAGAGTAGCAGATAGAATAGACATGGTCCCTGCCCTCATGGAGAGACGTTCCAACATTAGGCAGATAACTACCCCCGAGAGGCCTGCTCCAAAAAGGGACAACTCAGTTGAGATTTGAAGGACAGCTAGAGTCAGATGTGGGAAGAGTTTTCCAGGAGGAAGGGAGAGCATATTCACATCCCAGTGTTAAGAGAACACAGGGTATAATAAGGAAATGAAAGTAATTCAGCCAGAGAAAGGCTGGGGAATAAGGTGGTCAGGGTGTTGCAAGTGACATTAACAATTTTTAACTTTCTCCTAAGAATTTTTAACTTTTTGCTAAAAAAGCATCAAATACTTTCAAGCTGGGGATTTATATAATCTGATTTGCATCTTTTTGAAAGATAGCTCAGGCTGCAGAGCGGAGACTGGATGGGAGGAGGGCCATAGCTGAGGCAGGAAGAACAGCAAAATCCTCCTACCTTGATTCAGGCAAGGAAGGATAGTAGCTTAGTTAGTTGCGGCAGTGGGGGTGGGGAGGAAAGGGAGAAGCATTCATAGGTAGAAGTTGGAAGATCTGGGGGAGAGCTGGATAGCAGAGGGCAGGGGGAGGGAAGAGTTCCTGGGGTGTTCACCTGCTCTGAGGGCAGACCCCCATTCACTGATTAGGAGCCACCACTTCTAGTGAAGTCCTTATCAATGGACCCCAAGCAAGACAAGATGGCTGGAGGTGTGAGCACAGCAGGAAGGCCCTGAAACACAGAGTGAATAGCAAACACCTCTTCCCCAATGTTCTTGTCAATCTTTTTGACAACAGGAAATAAAAGCCTCATTTACTGCCCTCTCCTTTAATGAAAAGGAGAATAATCTCAAATTTAGCGCCATCCATAGGCAATGACATTTTGTTTTTACCATATTAATTTTAATGCCTACTTATGACACCGGTTTTTGATTTGTGCTGGTGTCTTAAAGTTACCTTCATAAAAGCATTTATTGTGTTAAGAACTGAACTGATATAAAGAAAAATATTTAGGGGGCCAGGGTTCACACGGCTCCTGGAAAATGAGAAAAACAATGAATGTGGTAATGTGATGACAGAGCCTTGAGCCACATCACTAGAGAATGAGTCACTTTAAACACTCCTTCTATCAGTAACAAGTACTCAAGTGATCATCTTACACAAGAGAGGGTTACTTTTTCTAATTACACAATAGTTAAAGGAAAAGGTAACAAAGGGCAAAACTGAAGTCTGAAGGAGACATAAGTACCTTGCCAGAACAGGTTGGGGACCCCTGAGTTCATGACCACAAGAAAAGGCAAATGTTTCTAGGAAAAAGTATAAGATTAGAAAAAGCAAAGTCATTTTTTAATCTTTTACCAGAAGGGAAAAAGCCACTGAGGCAGCATGGGATGCAGTCTTTTCAGAATACGTCTAATAAGAAAGTTTATCGTTGTGGGGTGCCTGGGTGGCTCAGTCTGTTAAGTGTCTGCCTTTGGCTCCCTCCTTCTCCCTCTCCCTTTGCTCTGCACAACTTCCCCGCCCAGGCCCCACTCTCTCTCGATCTCCATCAAATAAATAAAATCTTAAAAAAAAAAAAAAAAAGAAAGAAAAAGTTCATCTCTGAGATGCTTACAGGTTTTTCCCCCCTCCCTTCTCTTCAAGCGACTATACAACTTGATGTTGTAGAAGCAGAGACAGAGGAGATAACCCGAGGAAATACACTGCTCCGGGCCAGGAGGACCACCAAGCGGTTATCGGTGACGTCCCTTCCTTCAGGACTGCAAAAGGTACAGTGCTAAAACAAACTCACTTCTAAAGGCTTGCATACAAGTTGATGTTTAGGGGTATGGTAGAGGCCAAGTTCATGAAGGTAAAAGCCTTCATACCTGCTGCTGCTTGTATCCTCCTATCCAAGGCCTGAAGCCACAGCAAGCAGGGTTTCCAGGTCTGATTCCTCTACTTCTGAGCTCAAATGGTTCAGCTTCTACTATCACTGGGGCAACAGTAGAGTTCTGAGCTTTATACTGACCTCTCAGCTATTCAGGTAACAAGTCAGTACATCAGTATCAGGTCAATGACACACACTGCATGGAGAGAAATTCACTAGACCAGCACTGCTCCGGAGAACCTTGTGAAGTATATGCTAGCCAATATCCATTAACCACATGTGACTTTTTTTTTTTTTTTTTTAAGCTATTTTTATTTGGGAGAGAGAGCACAAGTGGGAGGCGCAGTGGAAGAGGGAGAGAAAAATCTCAAGCAGACTCTGTGCCCCATGCTGGGCTCGACTTCATGACCCTGAGATCATGATCTGAGCTGAAACACTGAGTCAGATGCTTAACTGACTGTGGCACCCAGGCACCCTAAATGTAACTTTTGAACCTGAAATGTGGCCAATGCAATTAAAAACTTGAATTTTTATTTCATTGTAATCGAAATTAAAAGATAGTCATGGGTACAGACTATGTGACAGTAGAAAATCCAAGAGAGTCCAAACCAAGAGTGTCCTTATTTGTGCAAATGTAAACTTCAGCCTAAATTGCCCATTTTTTTAATCACCTGAATTATTATTTTTTGAATATGAAAAATATTTACTTAGAGCTTTGTTCCAATTTTAAGTACTTTGGAAATATCAACTCAGATAATAATTACAACAGTCCTATAAGGTAGGTAACAATAAGGGTGCCTGGGTGACTCAGTTGGAAGAGTCTGGGACTCTTGATCTCGGATTTCTGAATTCGAGCCCCATGTTGCGGGTGGAGATTATTTAAAAATAGAATCTTTTTTAAAAAAAGAAAAGAGGGGCGCCTGGGTGGCTCAGTGGGTTAAGCCTCTTCCTTTGGCTCAGGTCATGATCCCAGGGTCCCTGGATGGAGCCCTGCATCCCGCTCTCTGCTCAGTGGGGAGCCTGCTTCTCTCTCTCTCTCTGCCTGCCTCTCTGCCTACTTGTGATCTCTGTCAAATTAATAAATTAAATCTTTATTAAAAATTAAAAAAAAATAAAAAAGAAAAGAAAAGGCATGAGATCCCCATCTCATGCCATATATAAAAGTTAATAGCAATATTATCCTTATTTTAGGGATGGTACTGAGAGGTTCAGTAGTTTGCTTAGATAAATGTCCACTGGTTCCTGAAGTTGTCTCTTACTTGAGTACTTGTTACTGATAGAAGGAGTGTTTAAAGTGACTCATTCTCTAGTGATGTGGCTAGTGATGTGTCAAAAAAAATTTGATCCCCATCTCATGCCATATATAAAAGTTAATAGCAATATTATCCTTATTTTAGGGATGGTACTGAGAGGTTCAGTAGTTTGCTTAGATAAGTGGCAGAGACAGGTTTCAAATCCAGGCAGATTTGGCTCTAGAGTCCTTACTCTTAATCTCTATGCTAAATACTAATTGTACTATCCAAAATGGTAGCCACTAAGTATATGTGGCTATTTAATTAAAATTCAAGTTCACTTCCTCAGTTGCACTAACTACATTTCAAGTTGCTCGATGATAACATGTGGCTTGTGGTTGTTGTATTAGCCAATAAGGAAAATTTCTGTATTTGCAGAAAGTTCTATTGAACAGAGGGGCTCCAGAGTAGAGTATCATTGTCAAAAGACACCAATATTAGTTTTGAATTTTGCCTTTTGTGTGACAGGTTCACATTTACTGTATTCCTACTATATACTGGGCAATTTCTAGATTTGGGAACTCTAAAGGTGATCCAGTGGACATATTCCTGGCCTGTGAAATTTATGATTTAGTAAGGGGGATAGATATTAAACCACAGCTCTGCAGGGCATTGAGTTAAGGATAACCTTTTGAATAAATGGCACTGGGACAAGTAGGTGTTCATATGGGAAAAAAATTTGATCCCCATCTCATACCATATATAAAAGTTAATTCCTATTGGGTTATATATAGATCTATGTGGAAAAGGTAAAACCTTAAAACTTGTGGAGGATGATAGAAATGACTTCAGTGTAGAGAAGTAATTCTTAGGACACAAATATCACTGACCAAAAAAGAAAAAAAAAATGGGACACATCTGGTTATAGTGGGATTGCTGTTCAGCAAAAGACTTAAAAGGTTGCGAAGGGTTTTATTTAGCTCTCAGAGTGATCTCAACAACATGTTTGCATTAATCGGTCACATTTAAAAATGAGACTATTTTTGGGACGCCTGGGTGGCTCAGTTGGTTAAGCGGCTGCCTTCGGCTCAGGTCATGATCCCAGAGTCCTGGGATCGAGTCCCACATCGGGCTCCTTGCTCAGCAGGGAGCCTGCTTCTCGCTCTGCCTCTGCCTGCCACTCTATCTGCCTGTGCTCACTCTCACACACACTCTCTCTCTCTCTCTCTGACAAAAAAATAAATAAAATCTTAAAAAAAAAATGAGACTATTTTTTAAAAATCTGGACTTTAAGCCCTCTTTTGAAAAATAGGATTTAGAAACACTAGGCCCACAATTCCTCATGATAAGAGCAGGAGACATGCAGAGGCTGGCCCCTTGGCAAGAGGCACATTGTCTCTGTATACCACAAGCCACAACTGGTGCTGTTGTATACAACCTTCCTGCACCACCTAGGCATTTGACTCTAGAACAGTGGTATTCAACAAACACAAAAATAACTTAGGAATTACCCCATGTGGTAACTGATCAGTAGGAAAAAGTACTGGGTTTTATGGGCGAGGAAAAAAGAGGGGTCCAACTATATATATATAGATGGATTGGGGAGGGTCCTGCAAGTGACATGTGAGCCTGGGCAAGCTGGCAGGGCAGCGTGGTGGGTCAGCAGACTCATTTGTAAACTCAGACACGGGGTTAAGTCCCAGATGTGGTCCCACGTCCCACTTTGTGTCGGTTTCACAACAGTCTCAATGCAAGTTACTAAGCACAAGGGGAAGGAAGAGTGAAGCCAGTAAGTCTAAAAGGGGCCTATTAGCCGGGAGCCGTGACCTAGGAATGATTTCCACTAGCAACACTATTAAGACAGGTACTTAGAAGCAGCAAGCCAGGGACGACAGGAGAAGTATCAGGCATGGGGCAAAAAGAACCCAGAGCCTTCTTTTTATGTTTGGAGACATGTCTGCCACGAAAATAAGGAAACCTGCAAAAAGGAGACCAAATTAACAACTAGATGCAGTGATAATGAGCTTTCTGGGACACTGGTTCTCCGCAGCCCCGCACTCTCACTGTGCTCAGCGGCTGCCGAGGCAATTTCTTCTTTTTCCCCTTGTGAGTGACCTGCTTTTTTCCTGGCACTATATATTCTTTCAGAACCAGACAATCTCATTTCTCTGCACCCTATAGATCTCTTCAAAGAGCGCGCCGGGCACAAAGGAGATACATGGGGCGTAGAGAATAATATGAATATGGTCTCCAACCCAGCGCTGTTATGGGGCAAATGTTCAGTTTATAGGAGAACGTGCAAAGGGTGAGAATTCTTGTTTAAGCACTGTCACAGAAATAACATCAGTACTTCTTAATCTGACGTGTTTCTGCATTCTTATGACAGGTTCCGTATTCATCAAAAAAGAGATCGCACTTTCCAGCACTTAAAAAAAAGAAACATAGCATGGAAAACATCCTCCGAAGATCAGATTGGACAGTAGGAAAACTTCAGATGCAGGTAGTGGACAAAGGCTTTTACTTTGTGTTTCACAAGCATCACGGAGGGGCAAATTTAACTGACTACACAGCCCTGCTAGACGGCAGGGCTGTGGGATGAAAGTAATGATTAGCACGAAGAAGTAATGTTAGCAGGGGGCATCCTGAGAGTGGCTGAAGGATTGCTAGGGGCACCTAGGACGATGTTGTGTGCCTAATAAATATTAAGTGAATTCAGTTAAAATGAAGGCATGCACAAAGGCTTCTTTTGAGAAGAACTTAGATCGTCTTTACCACTGGGTGGTAAATGCATCTTTTCGAGCTCTGTTTGCTAGGACTTGAATTAGAATAATACTTTGGGATTTGCAGAATGTCCACTGGTTCCTGAAGTTGTCTCTCAGGGAAAACCACCGTCCCGTTGGTTTTGACAAGGATTTCCCACATACGGCTACATTTCTTTGCATCTGTCATAGGTGGATGACCTCATAGAGACAGTGACAGATAAATCCATGAAGTTATTGGCCCAAAGACATGCTGAGCTTCAACAGTGTGAATTTCTAGGGGACGAAATTCTTCAGTCTTCGAAGCAGTTCCAGAGGATGTCCAAGAGAACCATGAGGAAGTATAAATTGAAAAATGTATGTTTCCCATGTACTTGCTGCTGCTTCTGACTCTGTTCCTGACTGCGTTAAGAGTTATCTCTATAGGAATTCTTATCTTTTGGTACATAATCCTGAATAAATCTCTCTAGTGAATTATCAGTTGGGGAGATGGAAATTTCTTAGAATATTCTGCCCAACGGTCTTTAAAAAAATCCTTTTTTGAACAACTGATTTTTAATTTTGAGTCCATGTTAGCAAATTTTTGCTTCATAATTCTTATTAATATTGGAAAACAGAAACATTTATCAGGGCATAGCAATTCTGCAAAGAAATTTCTCCCAGGATTTGCCAGATGAAATTAGAAGCATTTAATGGTATTATGACACTTGTAATATGACTACTACTGAGTTCAATTTAAACTTTCATACTTAAAGATAAGAATTCTTACTAAAATTACAAAAATGTAACATTGTTTAAGGTATGATCCATGCAAAATGTCATGTTTCCGAACTAAAAGAAATGGATATGGATGGAAGCTAACAAGTACGGAACATTAAATTCACTACTTAAGAAAATTACAACTGATTCAGCCTTAGCTTAATTTTTAAGATCATGAAATCGTTTACGCAAGACTGACCATCTTAATAGATTATTTTTCTGAGACAATTATTTCTTTGTCGATATGTTTTTTCTACTGAAAATGACTCCTAAAAATGAAACAGTAGAAGAAAACATAACAACAAAACGTTTAACAACCACATTGCTTAAGCATTACATTGAGAGATCTAGAAGGCAATGCATGATTGATTTACTTTGCTCTTGTAATTACTTCTTATACCACTGACTGTTAGATCAGGCAACCTCTTGCCAAATGAGGACACACCACAGACACTTTGTACACAATTTCATAAGTTCAAAGCCCTCATGAAGCCTATTTACGAATTCCATTTTCAAAGATGGTAACGATTTCCAGACTGACTCGTTTTTCACAGACGTTCTAGAAATGCCACTTTCTCACAATCCTCAATTTATTTTATAAAAACTACTTAGAAAGCTAATGAGAACAAACATATCTGCCTTGAAAACATTTTATTAAACATTTTTGGATATTGCTTCCTACCTTTTAAGAATAAAAAAACACATTTCAATACAAATAAATCTATAGTGAAGTTTTTTTCCTTTGTGTAAAGAAATAGGAATGAACTGTGCATTAATATTTAAAAGCAAAGTAGTTTACTGCCAAAACTTTAAATATCTGAAGAGCACAACAAATTCTGAATGCACTAGGAGCATGTCGTTACTTCTGCATTCTTGGGAAGTGTGAACCATTAGCCTGTTTATGGCTTAGGATCTGTTTCCATGGTGCTTTCTTGAGTTTCTTCTACCTCTGAGAGCTTTTCATCATCTGCAATTGAGAAGAACCGTAAAACTTCAGTCTAATTTGTTTAAATTATATGTTTAATGAATACATGACAACATTTTTATCCTTTATGAGCCAATATGTCTAAAACAAAGATGGCAAAATGGCAGCCTATGACTGTCATCGGCCAACACAGTGTTTGGTTTTAAAAGTGCTGTTTTGGTTGTTGGTGTTTATTAGTTAAGTCAAAGTGTAAAATTTATGTGATAGAACACATTAAAAAAAAAATCTAGGTTTTAGGTTTTTCGTAAAAACAATAAGGAGGTCAGATAACATAGACATTTCCAATTGGCAACAGTCAATACAAAGAGCTAGTCTCAAGTTTCTCAAAGCACCTTCCATTTACCGACTATGTAAACGAGCTTATGCACTATTACTCCACTCACTGACCACTGCCTGCCTGGATCCTGCATTGTTACTTTATAGCAATAAACTGTAATAAACCAAGAAGAATTCCAAATCTATCATCCTTAAATTTCTCTTAATGTGAACCACAGGACATGTATTTTAAATCATATACGCAGAAACTTGAACAGCTTGAGTACTTCTAACATCATCCAACTATACTCCTGTTCTGAAACTGAAGGTCTACTCTCTCAACAAGATGTGTGTTTTAGAAGGCATGCCCCTGGATCACTTAAAAGACTTTATAAACATTCATTCTGTGACTACTTCTACTTACTTTCTAGCGTTTGCTGAAGTTCGTGGATGGTACTAAGTAGAACGTGAAACTGTTTCCGCCTCAATTCCAGCTGCGTAAACAAGAAAAAAATTAATACACATTGATCTATACACATATACATATCATAGAGACCAATGTATGTGTATAGATACCTTATCTTCAACACTTTCTTTAATATGTGAAAGATGCTCTAGTTCCTTTCCCAGAGATTCTAGTTCCCTGAAAACAATAAAACAGTGTTATAGTTTGCTAACTGGGGGCACAGAAGTCACAATTAATACCTAACTTTTTAGTTACTAAATTGGATTTCAAAAATTTAAAAAAAAAGGATAAGAAGTTATTAAACTCCGTTATGATGAAACTTTGAAGCTAGGGATGGTCTTTTTAAATTCTAAGTATATATTTTTCTTTATTAAAATCAAATTTCTAGAAAAGTTTTTAAAACCTAAGAAAACACACATAATAGGATATCACACCAAAAGAACTGATAACTTTTAACATTTTATCATACTTATTTGACCAAAAAAAAAGGTCTTTCCTCTTTTTTTTTTCCCCCCTTGGTAAAAGAAATGAAACATTTCAGATTAACTTGAAATCCTCTTAGAACCTTATTGGCTATCCTCTATCCCAGACCATTTTTCCTCCTTTATTCCTTACTCAGGCAATCACTTCACCACACCAATCCTTTTTCATTCACATATTTGTCTCTCTAAATAATATACAGTACTAGTATGTAATGGGGGGGGTTAGCTTTTATAAATGGTTACTATTCTGTATGTGTTACAGAAACTTAGGAATAACTTAAAATTCATTATGTCTTCTATTCTTCTTTTCACTGATTATATTTTTAAGATCTAAGGTTTTTTTTTTTAAGATTTTAATTAATTTATTTAAGAGACAGAGAGAGAGAGAGAGAGAGAGAGAGAACTAGCACAAGCTGGGGGAGGCAGACACAGAAGCAGACTCTCCACTGAGCAGGGAGCCCAATGCAGGACTTGATCGTAGGACCCTGGGATCATGACCTGAGCCGAAGGCAGATGCTTAACAGACTGAGCCACCCAGGTGCCCCTGAGATCTGAGTTTAACAAGCACATATCTAAAAAAAAAAGTGTATATCTAGTTTGTTCTTTTAAATTGCTCATTTAGTATTGTATATATAGTCTACCATATTTTATCTATTTTCATTTGTGATATATATATATATATATATTCATTTATTTTAGAACTACAGACAGTAAGATCAGAGGAAGGAAAAATTCAGTCAACTGGTAGTATATATAATTTGGAAGATCTGACCCCTCCTTCTGAAACATATGTACTCCCATAAAAAATGGAATGCATAGGCTAATATGTAAATGTTACAAATTTATAAAGATTAGTTCCTTTCAAAGTAAACTCTAAACTTACTTTAATGTCTCATGCCGGTCTGGATGGTGCTGGATCACTTTAGCCAAAGCATCATATTCTGAAAGATACAAAATATTTACCAAATTAAGGTTTTCTTTTGAACATGGACATGAAGAAAAAGGTATAATATCACAGGTCTCTCCTAATCACTTTCTCAGTGCATAAAGATGAAAACACCAAAGGATGGAAAGAGTACTGCCAATGTCACTTGGTTCAACATGATTTCAAAACTGTTCCAAATAAGGCCTTTTGCTCCCTCTCTGTTTTTCTATTTACCTATCCCTGGGCAGGATATAAGAGGCTAGCATAGCAACGTGAACTGAAGCCCTTTATTGATCATTAAGTGGACTGATTATGAAGAGGATCTTATTCACTATTTGCCCAGCAAAGAGAAGATCAGCGAGGTCAATATACTACCATTCACTGCAGATCTTAACAATGGCAAACACTTCTCATTCTCATTCTAAAGGTAAAGATTTCAGAAATTTAAAAACAATTTAAAATTCAGAAATGATAAAATTTCTTTTTTCTCTTCCACTGAGGTCTCCAAATTTCCCTGTTATTTCCCATTAACCTTGAACTGATGAATGGCAGCATTCATTTCAAAGCCTCAACTAATTGAGAAAAACACTATGAAATCTTTTAAAATGTTTTTAGAGTCGATAATAATTATTAAATAAGTTGATATATTCTTCTGCAAATTGGCCACTGAACTTGACCACATATATTTTTGAGCGAGTTCAAAACCAATTTTTTTTTTTTTAAAATTTTTTTTTTTTTTTTTTAAAGATTTTATTTATTTATTTGAGACCGAGACAGTGAGAGAGAGCATGAGCGAGGAGAAGGTCAGAGGGAGAAGCAGACTCCCCATGGAGCTGGGAGCCCGATGTGGGACTCGATCCCGGGACTCCGGGATCATGACCCGAGCTGAAGGCAGTCGTCCAACCAACTGAGCCACCCAGGCGTCCCCAAAACCAATTTTTTAAAATAAGGAACTGAACATCTTACTTCGCTTCCTAAAAAGTAAAGTTCATTGTTTTGAAAATCAGCATTTTGATTCAATAAAAGTGTGACTTTTAATAAAAAAGTTTTTGATTACAAAATAATACATGTCCACTGCAAGGAAAAAAAAAAAAGACAAAGCCATAAAAATCCACAGACCCAAAATAACCATTAACATTTTCTATTTCCTTCTTGTTGTTCGTATATAGGTCACAGTTGTGATTATGCATTATATATATGTATTTTAAAGATTTTATTTATTTATTTGACAGACAGAGATCACAAGTAGGCAGAGAGAGAGGGGGAAGCAGGCTCCCCGCTGAGCAGAGAGCCCGATGTGGGGCTCGATCCCAGGACTCTGGGATCATGACCCAAGCCAAAGGCAGAGGCTTTAACCCACTGAGCCACTCAGGCGCCCTTATGCATTATATTTTTTATCTTCCTTTCTTTCAACTTACATTATAGGAGGAACAATGCCCCAGCCATTGAAACAATTTTGAAATAGTTTTTATGGACTGCAATGAGGACATAACCTAATAAAAAAACAAAACAGGGGTGCCTGGGTGGCTCAGTGGGTTAAGCACCTGCCTTCAGCTCAGGTCATAATCTGACCTTATCTTCAACACTTTCTTTAATATGTGAAAGATGCTCTAGTTCCTTTCCCAGAGACTCTAGTTCCCTGAAGATAACGATGGAGCCCCATATCCGGCTCCCTGATCAGCAGGAAGCCTGCTTCTCCCTCTCCTCCCTCTGCTGCTCTCCCTGGCTTGTGCTCTTGCTCTCTGTCAAATAAATGAATAAAATCTTAAAAACAAACAAACAAACAAACAAAACCAAAAGAGATCAGGACGAAGCTAAACTTTAAATGTTCACTTGGTTTGTACTTAAAAACTCACTGGGCTTAAATTCTTTTCTTTTTCCTGGAAAGTAACTCCATGAAACAAATAACAAACAAAACCTTAGGTCTAGTGCACTTGTGTGAATTGTCTCTGTTGATTAATGATAACATTACTTAGGCAAAGGGGTCTGAAAACAGTAAGAAAAAATGAATACTTAAGAAATATTTGGATAATCAATATAATACAGCAAGAAAAAAATGTTTTTCAGCATAGCCTTCCTTCTCTACTATTTTGAAGAATAATATAGTTTTAAAGAATTAAGTTTAGCTCCTTTTTTAATTCAGATTGATTCTTGCTGAAGATTTTACCACACAACGTTAAAAACTGTATGAAAATAGTACTCAGTAATAAAGTATTTGCACCCTAAATCCCGCAAAACCCTTACCTTGGCGATTTTTTCGTATTCGCTTTGCTTGAAGAATTTGCTTTTTGCACTCAGCAATTTTTTCATGTGCTCCAGCAATGCTACATTCTATGTGAAAAGGGATTTTTTAAAGACAGTTGCAGCAACATGCATCATCTTCATCCATTTTCCATTTTAAAATGTGTTTTTAAATTAAGTTCCATTGCTAATAGAGGCTGGTGTTTAAAAAACAGCTACAATCCAAAGTACCATAATCATATCAGAATACACTTTTGGAGCTAACATTTACCACATTCTTTCTATTAATATTGTCATTGTTATTATTTTACCACTAATCAAAGAAAAATGCTAGTAGATATTACTTCCTTTACACCATAAAAATTAAAATTTTACACAGAAACATAAATTGTTTTAAGTTTACCTATTTCTTTGTAAATTTTTTCATAATTTTCCATTTCTCTGAGATTCATATCATATACCAGCAAAGTTTTGCCCATTGAAAATTCACACTGGGACAGTGTGCTCAGCATACGTTGGTACTGGCTGTATCTGGTGGAAAAGAGAAAAACAGACTAAAGATTTTTGTGAAATACCAAAGTTGAACAATTATATATTACAGTGTAGGCAGAACTACCAAGTTCTGAGAGAATCATTTGCTTTATTTAAAATAATTTAGAATATCTTTCTGTTTAATTTTTCTTAATGGGAGTACTTGAATTTATAAACTGCTTCAGTTAAAGTGCAAAGATGGGATTGCTGTTCTTATCAATATAAACTTAATTCAACTACTTGTTTGAATTTTGTTTAAAATACTTTTTAAAAATGTCTTAATCCAGGGGTGCCTGAGTGACTCAGTAGGTTAAGCATCTGCCTTTGTCTCAGGTCTCAGGGCCCTGATATCCAGCCCCATGGGGGCTCTCTGCTCAGTGGGGAGTTTGCTCTCCCTCCCTGCCTCTCTCAAATAAGTAAAATCTTAAAAAAAATGTTTTATTTTTATTTTTATTTTTATTTTTTTAAAAGATTTTTATTTATTTGACAGAGAGAGAAATCACAAGTACGCAGAGAGACAGGAGAGAGAAGGGGAAACAGGCTCGCCACTGAGCAGAAAGCCCGATGTGGGGCTCGATCCCAGGACCCTGGGATCATGACCTGAGCCGAAGGCAGAGGCTTTAACCCACTGAGCCACCCAGGCACCCCATTAAAAAAAAATGTTTTAATCAAGATGGTTTTTTATCCTCACAATTTTATTTTCACAAATTTTTCACTCTTTAACAATGATTTATGTGAAAAGCTAATTCAAATGAGGGAAATTTTTCTAAGGCAAAAAAGTTACTAAATATATATAGAACCCTGCAGTATATAAAAACTTTTTATTAGCTTATTTAAGAAAGAGAAAATTGGGGCACCGGGCTGACTGACTCAGTCAGTAGCACAGGCAACCCCTTATCTCAGGGTCCTGAGTTCAAGCCCCACTGGGCCTAGAGCTTACTGAAAAAAAGGGTTGCTGGAGGGGAGGGGGAGTGGAGGATTTGGGTAACTGGGTGATAGACATTGGGGAAGGTATGCGTTGTAATGAGAACTGGGTGCTACATAAGACTGATGAATCACAGACCTGTACCCCTGAAACAAATAATATATCTCATGTTAATTGAGTTTAAACTAAAAAAGTAGTGCTATAAAGAGTGATTCAAATATTTTACGAAAAAAGCAAAAGAGAAAATTCCATTTAGATATTTTGTCTAACTAAATGCCGAAACTGACAAAATGAATGAGCCAGAATTTAATCCTTATTTCTTAACCACTACACCTTCTGCGCATTTGCATAAACACAAAGCAGGCTTCTGAAGAGAAATAAGGGCCAGAAAAATCTAGAGTTGCCTCCACTGGACAACTGAAGGAGAGTGAAAAGCTGAACTACTGACAGGGCTGTATACACGGTCTAAACTCTGATTAGGACACTGGTGTAGCAACGACAGTCAGATGAAATACCCCTCTTCCTGGGACCCGGAGTTGCACCACTTAATGAAACTTTTCACCAGCAGATTGATTCTCCGGTCATCTCCAGCGCCGTCTCCATCAATCAGGAGACGCTTCCGTATGACTTCGTCTGGAGGGAAGAACAACACCGTGAATGAAAATGATGGTCTGGCTCTTGCTGACTTTCAGGGACAAATAACCAATATCACGACTTACTCATTCATCCAAAAGAAAACCATTGGGACGGGTGCCTGGGTGGCTCAGTGGGTTAAGCCGCTGCCTTCGGCTCAGGTCATGATCTCAGGATCCTGGGATCGAGTCCCGCATCGGGCTCTCTGCTCAGCAGGGAGCCTGCTTCCCTCTCTCTCTCTCTCTGCCTGCCTCTCCATCTACTTGTGATCTCTCTCTGTCAAATAAATAAATAAAATCTTAAAAAAAATTTGTAAAAAAAAAAAAAGAAAACCATTGGGACGCGAATATACTTCAAGCCACTAAACGGTATACTTAAAATGGTTAGGATGGCAAATTTTACGTTATGCAGGTTTTACTATAATTTATGTATATATTTTTATGTCACTATGAAGACAGTTACTGAGTGGCTACTATATGCAAGCAGTGTACTAGAGGCTGGGGTTATCAATGCGCTCATGGAACTGGAATTCTACTGCTGGGGTACTGAACGGAAAATTTTCAGGTATCGCCAAGGACATAAGCCCATAGTTCTTGGAGAACTTTGTTTTGGAAAAACCTGTTCACACAGAAGGCAGGCTGAAGTGTTCCTGTCTCTGACTGGGGTGAGGTAGTGGTGAAAGGCACAGAAAGAAAAGATTTGAAAGATGTAGTGGCAGATTGGGTGACAAGAACGAGAGAGGTCAGAGAAATGGGAATGGATTTGTCAAAAAAAAAAAGGTGTAATTTAGTTATTATATCTGTAATGTTTCTTCCCCATGGAGACTTTTTTTTTTTTTCTTCCTTTTTTAACAAGTCTGTCTCACTTTTGCTTCAAGGGAAAGAAAAAGAAAATGGAATCAGAGAGCATGGCAGATAATAATGATGAGTGGTAAGTGGGGCTCCAATCGGCCAGTCTGGCAATGTTCTTGCTGGACAAAATAATGCTGGATCATGAAAAGAGAAGGGCAGACTGAAACCCAATAAAACATAATTTTTAAAAAAAGGTTTATTTATTTGAGAGAGTGAGAGCTCGCATGTGTGGGGTAAAGGAGAGAATCCCTAAGCAGACTCTCCACTGAGCAGCGAGCTGGAACAAAGGCTGGATCCCACAATCCATGATGAGATCATGACCCGAGCTAAAAGCAAGAGTTGGAGGCTTAACCAACTCAGCCACCCAGGCACCCCAAACATAATTTCCATCTATCAGATTGGCAAAGATCAAAATACCTGATAAAAGTGCTGGCAAGGATACGGAGAAACTGCACTTACATACACTGATGGCATGCAGACTGGTAGGCTCTTTCTGGGGCAAATGGGCTATCACAAACAAGATTTCCAAGGCACATTATCTTTTCAACCCCAGAACTCCAATTCTAGGAACTGATCCCATAGATAACCATGCATATCCACCCACAAAGATAAATGCAGAGATGTTCTTAGTGCTGTTCCTAGTAGAAAGATCACAAACCTAAGCATGTACTAGTAAGAGACTGGTTAGATTATCCAAACTTCATATAATGTACTATGATGAAGCCAACAGTTTGGCTGTATATACTGACGGCAAGAAATCTCCTTTGGTCCAGGATGTGAAATGAAAACAAAACAGGTGCAAAGAACCACACCGTTTGCTGTCATCTGTGTAGAAAAGGGGGAGGCTTTGTGTGTTTGTGTGTGCCTGTGTGCGCACACATACATATGTGCGTATTCAGAGAATATCTCTGGAAAGAACACAAGAAACTGGTTATAGAAGTTTCTTCTGGTGATAGGGACTACAGAGGGAATGAGAAAAAACTGAATTTTCTATGTTGTTTCACAGAATTGTTTTTCACCATGTGTGTGCATTATTTTTTTTAAAAACTAATTTTTTAGAAAGATTTAAAAAAATCTTTTAAAGGCAGAGAGAGAGAGAGGAGGAAGCAGACTCCCCACTGAGCAGAGAGTCCGATGCGGGGCTCGATCCCAGAACCCTGGGATCATGACCTGAGCCGAAGGCAGAGGCTTTAACCCACTGAGCCACCCAGGCGCCCCTAAAAAATAATTTTTTAAGTGTGGTTAATTCTTGGGAGAGCCTGCACAATGTAACAACAGCGAAATCTTAAACAAGAGTTCCTGTGTGTAGGCTGAAGTATTTCTGAGCGCAGGTGCAGCGGAGACAAACTTTGGAAGGCAGGTGGCTGCAGTTTTAAAATCTGTTCTGCGACATTAGAGGAACATTTTTAGAATTGGGTTTTGAATTTTTATTTTTTATTACAAACACGCTTTAACTTTGTTAAAAGTAAACATCCAGCAGTGAGCAGTTTGATGTTTGATGCTGCTCAATTCCTTTCTTTTGTTCAGTTTCTCGTTTTCTTATCTCTGCTCTCCCAACCTGCCCAAGAAACCCCATCTTCCTCCCAAATACCTGGGCATCTTACTTTATTGAGGACCAGGGATGTAAGGGAATAGAAAATTGGGAAACAAGTACCCTAAGGGGGGAACTATTACCACAGCTGGTTTTTCAAGAGATTTTTAAGGTTTGGTGACAAAAAAAATATTTCAAGCACATTTGGTGATCATTCAGCTGTAGAGTTAAGATCCGTGTACATTTATGTATGTAATACTCCAATTAAAGAAGTTTTTGAAAAAATGTCAGAACACTGTATAGGCCAAATAAACTTGGGAAAAGGTTCATAAGGGCCAGTCCTGGGTCTCATTCATTTTGTTTCCTCCCCAACCTCTCACACTGTGTCTTTACACTTCTTCTTCTTCTTCTTCTTTTTTAAAAAATTTTATTTATTTATTTGACAGAGATCACAAGTAGGTAGAGGCAGGCAGAGAGAGAGAGAGAGGAGTAAGTACCCCTGTGTCTTTACACTTCTGATGTGCAATAAATAGTTTTAAATTGGATTGTGGTATCTGCCTGGGGCCATCTGCCCTTCGAAGAGTTTTGTCTCAGTAAAATACTAACAAGGACCAAGCAGGCACCCACCTTATTTTCAGGTCCTAAGCAGAGATTTCTTTTCTTGTACACAAAACATGAATACTTGATCAATGAGCAGATGTGTCCATAGGGGACCAGAGCAGTTCTGAGGATGTGAGATGAAGACCTGAGCTCTTCCGCTCTAGGTGGAGAAATAACGTGCACGTGAACACATGCAGAAGAGGTGGGGGCTGTTAAGTGAATGACACGGACGTGCACCAGAAGAGATTTGGACAGTTTCCTTTGGCTTGGGGGAATCCGGGAAAATGGAATTTGGGCTGCTCTTTTCATACTTAAAAATCATCAGTCAGTGGGGTGCCTGGATGGCTCGGTCAGTTAAATGACCTCTTGGTTTTCTGCTCAGGTCATGATCTCAGGGTCCTGTGATCAAGCCCCACGTCAGGCTCCACACTCAGCAGAGTCTGCTTGCTCTTCTCTCTCTCCTCCCCACCCTGCCTGCGTTCTCTCATTACCTCTCAAATAAAGAAAATGTTGGGGGTTCCTGGGTGGTGCAGTTGATTAAGCATCTGCCTTCGGCTCAGGTCATGATCCCGAGTCCTGGGATTGAGCCCTGCATCGGGCTCCCTGCTAAGTGGGGAGTCTGCTTCTCCTTCTCCCACTGCTTGTGCTCTTTCTCTCTTGCTCACTCTCTCTCAAATAAATAAAAATAAAATAAATAAAATCTTTTAAAAAATCACCAATCAAGAAAACTAAAAGGTATTTCAACAATATCTACCTAAACTTCAAATAACATAGACCCTTCCACCCAATAATCCTAGATAAACTCGTACATATGAATATGACTATGTCCATTGACAGGGAGCTAGATAAATTTTGGCACAAAAATATGATGGAATGCTATGAAGCCATAAAAACAACAACAACAACAACAACTGGAATGCTATGAAGCCATAAAAACAACAACAACAACAACAACCAAAGAATGAGGAAATGTTTATGTGCTGATACAGAGATCACTTAAGATAACTTAACAAGGGGTGCCTGGGTGGCTCAGTGGGTTAAAGCCTCTGCCTTGGGCTCAGGTCATGATCCCAGGGTCCTGGGATCGAGCCCCACATAGGGCTCTCTGCTCAACGGGGAGCCTGCTCCCCCCCCGCCCCCGCCACCTCTGCCTGCCTCTCTGCCTACTTGTAATCTCTGTCAAATAAATAAAAAAACAAAATCTTAAAAAAAAAAAGATAACTTGACAAAAGAGCAAGGTGAGGAACAGTAATGTATAGCATGTTTCCTTTCACACATAAATGGGGGAGAAACAAGAATATATGCTTATATTCATACAAATACCCTGGAATGATACACAAGAAACTAACTAAAAGGAGTTACCAAGGGAGAGGGGCAATTTAAGTGGGATAGAGAACAGGCTGGAAGATGGGGAAATATCTTTTTACATTTGATTTTTGAACCATATGAGCACTCAAAATCTGTTAGTTGTTTGAAAAAGCAAGCTATGATTATGGTGAAATTATCAGAGGTGTTTGCATATGTCCAGATGCATCAAATTTTACACATTAAATATTCAGTTCTTTGTATAAAATTATCCCTCAATAAAGCTACCTAAAAAATACAAAAAATGACGGGTGCCTGGCTGGCTCAGTTGGTAGAGCATGCAACTCTTGATCCTGGGGTTGTGAGTTAGAGCCCCACGCTGAGTGTAAAGATTACTTAAAAAAGTAAAATCTTTGGGGTGTCTGGCTGGCACAGTCAGTTGAGCATCCGAATCTTGATTTTGGCTCAGGTCAGGATCTCAGGGTCATGAGATTAAGCCCTACATGGGGCTCTATGCTCACACTGAGGACTCTACTTAAGACTTTCTCTCCCTTTGCCACCCTCTGCCAAATAAATAAATCTTAAAAAGAAAAAAAAAAGACCAACTTTAAATATTTAAAAAGGGCAAAAAATTAAAAAGCAAGCTTAAGTCCCTTCCCTGTCCACCCCAGGCAGGGAGAAAGCTGTGAGCTCTAGCAGAGGAGGGAATGAAA